GCGGGCGGCCGCAGGCTTGGGTGGACAGACACACGGCCAGCGGGGCCAAGGACAGACAGCGGCTCTAGCGATCACACGGGGTAAGTGTTCTGACTCCTCTCGTACAGATGCCCCAACACTCCACGTTGATCCCGCAAGCTGCAGGTTTGTTGGCTACAAGCTCCTGGGTCTCCGCAGGGGCCCCAGGAGCAGCCCGAGGACACACAAGTTGAACGCTCAGACATGCTGCATTCACGCTCAAGCCTCTCCAGGTTGGTTCTGGGCAGGCAGGTGCTCTCAGAGAATAAGAGGCCTGGGCCACTTTGAGTTTAGAGGCCCCAGCCCCTCCCCTGTATCTAACCTCTCATTCACAGGGTCATCATAAAACCAAAAGAATGTATGAAAATAAACAACTGAAACGTTAATTTATTAACAATTCAATCCTTATACCAATAGCATGTATATTAAAAATGGCGAGCAGTCCTGTGGCACCTTTAGACTAACTGAAGTGTAGGAGCATAAGCATTCCTGGGCAAAGACCCACTTCGTCAGATGCATGTAGTGGAAATTTCCAGAGGCAGGAATAAATATGCAGGCCAGGATCAGGCTGGAGATGACGAGGTGGATCCAATCAAAGAGGATGAGGCCCACTTCTAGCAGCTGATCTGAAGGTGTGAATTCCAAGAGAGCAGAAGCTGCTTTTGTAGTTAGCGAGCCATTCCCAGTCTTTGTTTAATCCAGAGTTGATTGTGTCAAACTTAAAGATGAACTGTAGCTCAGCAGTTTCTCTTTGAAGTCTGGTCCTGAAGTTTTTTTGCTGCAGGATGGCTACTTTTAGATCTGCAATTGTGTGTCCAGGAAGATTGAAGTGTTCCCCTACAGGTTTTTGTATGTTGCCATTCCTAATATCAGATTTGTGTCCATTGATTCTTTTACGTAGGGACTGTCCTGTTTGGCCGATGTATATAGCAGTGGGGCATTGTTGGCACATGATGGCATATATTACGTTGGTGGATGTGCAGGAGAATGTACCAGTGACAGTATGGCTGATCTGGTTAGGTCCTGTGATGGTGTTGCTGGTGTATATATGTGGGCAGAGTTGGCACCGAGGTTTGTTGCAAGGATTGGTTCCTGAGTTCGAGTTATTATGGTGCGGTGTGTAGTTGCTGGTGAGAATATGCTTCAGGTTGGCGGGTTGTCTGTGGGCAAGGACCGGCCTACCTCCCAAGGCCTGTGAGAGCGAGGGATCATTGTCCAGGATGGGCTGAAGATCACTAATGATGCGTTGGAGAGGTTTTAGCTGGGGACTGTAGGTGATGGCCAGTGGTGTTCTGTTGGTTTCTTTCTTGGGCTTGTCCCGTAGCAGGAGGCTTCTGGGTACACGTCTGGCTCTGTCAATCTGTCTCCTCACTTCCTCGTGTGGGTATCGCAGTTTACAGAATGCTTGTTGAAGGTCTTGTAGGTGTAGGTCTCTGTCTGAGGGGTTGGAGCATATGCGGTTGTACCTCAGTGCTTGGCTGTAAACAATGGATCGTGTGGTGTGTCCGGGATGGAAACTGGAGGCATGCAGGTAAGTATAGCGGTCGGTAGGTTTTCTGTATAGGGTGGTATTGATATGACCGTCACTTATTTGTATCGTGGTGTCCAGGAAATGGACCTCCCGTGTAGATTGGTCCATGCTGAGGTTGATGGTGGGGTGGAAGCTGTTGAAATCATGGTGAAATTCTTCCAGAGTCTCCTTCCCATGGGTCCAGATGATGAAGATGTCATCGATGTAGCGTAGGTAGAGAAGGGGTGTAAGTGGACGAGAGCTGAGGAAGCGTTGTTCCAGGTCAGCCATAAAAATGTTGGCGTATTGTGGGGCCATGCGGGTGCCCATAGCAGTGCCACTGGTCTGGAGGTATATGTTGTCACCAAATCTGAAATAGTTGTGTGTGAGGATAAATTCACAGAGTTCAGCCACCAGTTGTGCTGTGGCATCATCAGGAATACTGTTCCTGACAGCTTGTACTCCATCTGCATGTGGGATGTTTGTGTAGAGAGCCTCTACATCCATGGTGGCTAGGATGGTGTTTTCTGGAAGATCACCTATGCATTGTAGTTTTCTCAGGAAATCCGTAGTGTCACGAAGGTAACTGGGAGTGCTGGTGGCGTAGGGTCTGAGCAGAGAGTCCACATAGCCAGACAGTCCTTCAGTAAGAGTGCCAATGCCCGAGATGATGGGGCGTCCGGGATTTCCAGGTTTGTGGATCTTGGGTAATAGATAGAACAACCCTGGTCGGGGCTCTAAAGGTGTGTCGATTTGTTCCTGTGTTTGTTTGGGGAGTGTCCTGAGCAGATGGTGCAGTTTCTTAGTATATTCCTTAGTGGGATCTGAGGAAAGTGGCCTGTAGAATTTGGTATTGGAGAGTTGTCTGGCAGCCTCCTTTAGGTAGTCAGGCCTGTTCATGATGACAACAGCACCTCCTTTGTCAGCCTCTTTGATTATAATGTCAGAGTTGTTCCGGAGGCTGTGGATGGCATTGCGTTCTGCACGACTGAGGTTACCAGGCAAGCGATGCTGTTTTTCCACAATTTCTGCCTGTGCACGTCGGCGGAAGCATTCTATGTAGAGGTCCAGACTGCCATTTCGGCCCTCAGGAGGAGTCCATGTGGAGTTCTTCTTCTTGTGCTGTTGGTGGGAAGGTATCTGTGTGTCAGTGCATGACACCACCTTTGTCAGCCTCTTTGATTCTAATGTCGGAGTTGTTCCGGAGGCTGTGGATGGCATTGCGTTCTGCACGACTGAGGTTACCAGGCAAGTGATGCTGTTTTTCCACAATTTCTGTCTGTGCACGTCGGCGGAAGCATTTTATGTAGAGGTCCAGACTGTCATTTCGGCCCTCAGGAGTCCATGTGGAGTTCTTCTTCTTGTGCTGTTGGTGGGAAGGTATCTGTGTGTCAGTGCACTGTTCAGTGTTGTGTTGGAAGTATTCCTTGAGACGGAGACAGTGAAAGTAGGCTTCCAGATCACCGCCTGGTATATTAAAAATGGCTACCCCTCTGGTATATTAAAAATGTAACTAATTGTGAGTTTCCACTGCAAACAAAACTCTTCATTTTAGGAATGGTTTTTTGGTTTTATTGTGAGCAAACTTGTTTATAATTGAAGAAAAATCTAATGTATGTGCAACATCACTATTAATGTTAAGCACTGCGAGCCCAATTCAAATGCTCATCTCATTGTAGAATGATGGTAGTTCTTTACTTGGTGTAACATGTTGAATGTGCATTCACCTGAAGCCACTGATGCAGGGAGACTGATAAAAATATGTAATGCAATTGTGATATTAGGCTGAGATTGAACATTTCTTGAAGCATCTATTTTGGCTTGCAGTTGGTGGAATGCATATGATTTAAAGTTAGTGGAATGTATGTTTCAGGAAGACTCTGTCATCACAGAGATCTCTTGAAATTCCGTTGTTGTACCTTCGTTGAAACTGTTCAACTGCTGAATATAGATCTTCATCACTTCATTCTTGGAACTACCAAAGGAATCCCAAAAGGGTACAAATTTGTTGCAGTGACTCAAATCGACATGTAAGACCAGATTTGATGGGACTCAATAACAAAAAAAATTTGGCTTAATAGTGCCTTTCTGCATCAGACTGAGATGTTAGACTGCAATTAGTGGAAAACTCAGATGAAAAGTTAATAGCCTGTGCTACTGATTTGGACTCAGAAAGGATTGCATCACCTTGATCATGAATCTTTTGAGTATCTTTAAGAAATCATTCAGTGTTATCCCTCTCAACATCTAATGTAGCATAGTGTGCTTCAATTTCAAGATTAGTTTCATGGATCATTTTTAGCAGCTTCATCCACATGGACAACATTAAAATGCATTCAGATTTGGATGTATACTTCTGAATTGACTTACTCACAGCACAGACTTGCCCCGAGTTTAAGAGATTCAAGCTCACTTAAAGCTTCTCAGAGTCCAAATGCTGTGCAACTGACTTAATGCCATCAATTCGTGTTAATCATCTCGTTGTCAAAATGACGTGAAGCAAAACAGGCAGATGCTGCTTCAGAATTTCCCACTTTCAAGGACTGCTACTAAAGAAGTTGTACAATTGCTGGATTGTTCCAAAATATGTGATTGCTTCCTTGCATGATTCAGTGCAATCAGTGCTGACAAGATTTAGGGTATGTCTTCCCCAAGATGCTGCTCTGTCCTGCTCTCTCTCTCTGGGCTTTGAGGCCAGGCTCTCCACACAGCCTGTGCCTGGTTCTTCAAAGTTTGGTAGCCATTTGTGGCTAGTCTTGTCTCTGGACCTGGGCCTGAGCCAGGTTTAAAGTTCAGCTTGCACTTGGAGCTGTCCGAGGTGCTGTTGTCCTCCCAACCTAAGCCTGGCTAGGTCAAGCTCCAGTGAGGAACTGCCAGGCCCTGGCCCAGCAGCTTCTTTATATCAGCCTGCTGGGCCCTGATTGGCTGCAGCAGAAACAGCTAGTCTATCCTGCTTGGAGGACCTCTCTTATGCTCTTCTCCATGGGGCAAGGTGGGGCAAGGCCTCCAGCAGAGAGCATCAGGCCCAGTGCACCCCGTCACAAGTCCCTATAGCCTTATTTCAAAGTCTTGAAATTTTAACATGTTCCCACTATTAAATTCCTCTAATAACTGGTGCATTATGAATATGAACATGGGGCAATTGCCAGACTAGGTATAAAGTTTATTAAACAACTAGAATTAAAAGTTTATTATACCAAAAAAAGCCTTTAAAGATTAATCTAAAACTGGACAAAGAGGTAGCTTACAGCTGACCTGATGTGGTTATTGTATACAGAGACACAAGAAAAAACAGGAATACAAAAAAAATCTCCTACAGAGATAAACATCTAATTTAAAGGTTAAACTCACTCTCAGACCAAGTAAAAATCACTTCATAGGAACAATTAATTACAACTTTCAAAACCTCTAAACTATGTAAAGCCTATTAACAGCATTTCATAATGTAGACCCACTAATCTCAGAGGCTACTCCCATCTCCAGTCATGCAGATGAAAACTCAGATGTGACTGAAAAATTGGTGAAGACCCAAGATCCCACAATGATTTAAATAATTTTTTGCAGTTTATTTTTATATATATATAGCGCTTCTTTTGTTGTCTGTTATAACTTCAAGGTGTATAATAAATGGAAATAACTTGATAAAAAATGTCAACATTTCAGTTGTCTCCTGAGGCCCAGGCCAAATGGCTCTCTTGCCCCCCCCCCCCCCCCGGTCATCATAGCAAACATTCTGTTTTTTGACCTTACTGTCTTCCATACAGGGAGGGGCGTTGCTATCTTCTAGAAACCTTCACACAAAACCAACAAATGGTCATGCAGCACCTTAGAGAGTAACAAAAATGTTGATGGTATCATGAGCTTTCATGGTCACACCCCACTTCTTCAGATTCAGACTTTTAAGTTACATACTAACATGGCTAAACGCTATTCAGAGAGAAACCTATTTATGATTTCTGGATTGTAAAATATCCAACCTATCAATTATTCAGACATACAGAACAATTTTTACATTTGCTGAACTCCCTTGCTGTTCCTACTTTTAGGGAACAAAAGTCACAAACTCTTGGAACTGCATCCAAAATTTGTAAATATCATCCAGTTGTAAGCAGTCTTATATAAAATACATTGATGTGCCCAGCCTGAGCTACAGTCAGCTCAGACATAGAAACATGTTGATTGAAACCTACATGGGCTCAACATGAGGTCATAAGAATGGCCATACTGGGTCAGACCAAAGGGCCAACTAGCCCAGTGTCCGGTCTTCTGATAGTGGCCAATGCCAGTTGTCCCAGAGGCAATGAACAGAACAGGAAATTATCAAGTGATTCCTTCCTTGTTACCCATTCCCAGCTTCTAACAGTCTAAGGACACTCTCTCGGCATCCTGGCTAATAGCCATTAACGGACCTATCCTCCACAGCATTATCTAGTTTTTTTGAACCCCATTAAAGTCCTGATCTTCACAACATCCCCAGCAAGGAGTTTCACAGGTTGACTCTGCATTTCATGAAGAAACACTTTGTTTTAAACCTGATACCTATGAATTTCATCTGATGACCCCTAGTTCTTATGGGAACAAGTAAATAACTTTTCCTTATTTACTCTCTCAACATCAGTCATGATTTTATAGACCTCTATCAACTCCCCCCAGTATCTTTTCTAAGCTGAAAAGTCCCAGGCTTTTTAATCTCCCCTCATGTGGCAGCTGTTTTAAACCCCTAATAGTATGTGCTGCCCTTTTCTGAACTTTTTCCAATGCCAAGATATCTTTGAGATGAGGCGACCACATCTGTAAAGGTCTGATCACTAGTATTGCTGATAACATTTTATTTGTACAGAAACAAAAATCTGATGCTTTAACAGAAAGTAGCAAGACCACCCTCATAATGCATAACATTCATTAGATTAATAAGGTAGCTGTGTAAGGGTATGCATATTTTAGAATCTTGATGAGCAGCCACCTGTATTACTGAGGGAGTTATTACTTGATTCATGTCAGTACATGAAAGTACAACGCAGACACAGTTTATTTAAGAAAAATTTACTAATCCATTAATATTTCTTCAAAATTATTGCAACAGGTCTGAAAAAGCAAACACACTGTTACAGCTTAGAAAAACAAGTATTTGTACAGTTAAAATATTAAACAAGACTCCAGGAAAAATAATCAGTGTATGAGGAAATTAGATCTGGAAGCTTTGACCCAGTATTAGCACCTACAGTACCACTGAAAGCAGAATACTCTGTTCTGGACAGTTGTCTTGTTTTGTAAATCCCTTAATTCCTTCCACAGGAAAGGATGATAGCTCTTAAAACAGAAGGACTCTGCTAATTTATGGCAAGGCTAGATAGAGAGCTCCCTTTAATAAGGGAGAAGGAAACAACAGAAAATTACACCAACTTGATTTGTAGGAAGTTTTACTCAGAAGATGCCCAAGTTATTTTAGCAGATGTTGCCAAGGAATGTTAATGCACAGGAAATACGACATACTGCAAAGGTTTACTCTTCAGCAGTTTGCCAGTGACTATCTTATATACTGCCTAGTACTTTGTCAAATCAAGTGTTCCTATAAATTATTTTAATAAAACAAGAAAGTTTATTACACTTCACATATTAAACATTAAGGGATAGTCGGGATGGTTACACGTATTGGTTCAGCATTCATTTTATTGTGCTTACACAGCTTAATGAAACAAGCGATAGAGCATTTCCTCTTAGGAATTTAGGACAATGCAATAACAATAGATTCTCACAGCAGCAGCAAAGCACCCAGCACTAATGTTAGCTAATGAGTCTTAGGAATAACCAGAATATGAAAACAGAAAGCATTTGCATAATTCCCAGAGCATCACCTCTGAAAACTTAAAATGCGCTATGCCTCAAGTCACTTCCTGCCAGGCAGAGGCACGCTGTACAACGGACATATCTACCCGCTTCCCTCCCCAAAAGGCTTTATGTGGAGTGAAGAATTTGTTTTTGAAAATGCCTGTGCCCCTAAAGTCAGACTTGTTGCTTTCTAAAGTGTCTGATGTGCATGAAAGCCCAAGAGGCTGGGGAGGAACAGTACTGCTCTCACATTGCTGATTTGCCAGCTAATTTGAAGGGCACTGCCTTTTCCTTGGGAGTTAAGATAATCCCATCACCTGAAGCTTGCCATAAAGACACAAAATGGATGCTGACCGGCCAGAGGGTCACCCCATGTGGAGTAGAATTCTAGGAAATTAGTCCTTTGGTGGATGGCACCATGGATCTGGCAACAGAGAGGAATGATGCTCTAGACAGGAGGTAGGTGAACCTTCTGGTACAGCAAGTCCACCACTAAGCTGGGTGCTAGAAAACAAGACAGAACAAGTTAAACTTCTGCTATGGCATCTACAAGCAATCAGCCACCCAATGATGCAAGGCAGCCAGGAGAGTTTACTTTAAGGAACAAGATTAAAGAGAATTGGAACCATCACATGGTGAAACAGCTACCTCTGTGGCCACAAGATTTCCCTTCCATTATCACAGCATTCTTCAGCAGCCCTGCAAATTATCAGCTACACCCAATGAGGCTTTACCCGTTGGTTCTGGGCTCCATTTAATGTCCAGATGTCCACACACTCTCAAAAAGGTAAACAAAGTTTCCAGGTAAAGCTTCCTATCCTGCCTTTACCACCAGGAGTCTTCCTTCTGCAGGTCACTGTTCCTTCCTTAAGCTTCCCTAGCCACGCACACTCAGAACCACTGGCTGGTTTTACTCACTCCCTTCCCAGGGCTGGCTGTTCCCAAGCATCTGACCCTTAAAGGGCAGCCCCTATTACACCTCCCTATTTCCCTTGTAACTCTCTTGGAGCAGGGGACATCTGTACTTCTTTGTATGGCACTTTGGCTCTACCACAAAACAAAATAATGTGTCCAGGTTTAAGGAATGGCTGTAAAGTGTTTTGGAAGCCAGTAAGGATTCCAATTATGTGTTTTTAAAATCAATGCAAATTAATCCAATTTTCATAATTGAACACTGACTATTTTCAGCAGCTTTGGGGAAAGACACCTGGATAGTTTGGGTATGCAGAGTGGGACGACACGACCACACTTTGCTGGGGAAGGTTACTGTGGCACAAAGAACAGATAGGCACTTAATTTCACTTCCCTTTTGTGCCTCCGAAAACGTGCCCAAGAGGCCTGCAAGAAGATTCCGAAGCACCAGTCAGGAATCTGTCAGATCATGGCCTCTCCAGTCAAAACAGTAATTAATGCTAATGTGTCTAGACAGTTGGAGTAGTCAGTGTGTACTGGTAAGAGTTACTGACAATTTGCATCTCTACTCCTAGCACTGGCATGTAACATGCAAGCTGCTGGGAGTTACTAGCTAGCAGGACTGCAATAAAGCAACTGATATTGATTGTGGAGTAAGTTCAGAGTTGGACTCCCTGCCCAATGAATTTCGATGGACCATGGAATCAGCATTCCAATAGCAGCAATACTTGTGAGTTATTCTGAATTTACAGCGTGTTGCTGAAATCACACTGATCTAAAGTGCATTCTATTTTCAATCAGAGGCATATTCCCTGCTGTTCTAGATTCTTTTACTAAACTATGTAGCCCACATGCACTACTCAGACTGCTTAGGAGACTTTGCAGGCTACAGGTTGGGGGTGCTGTTGGTTTAAATTTGGGAAGACAGATAATTAATAAAGCCTTTGTTCTACATTGGGCATGCTCCTGATACATGGCTTCAAAAACAAAGTTATGCTGAACAAAAATATTTGCAATTCATGAAACTATCCAGAAGTTCCCACTGTAAATCTTTTCCCATTTTAGAAATTTCACAGTTGTTTTAACTTTGATAGAGTAGGCTCTTGTGTGTAATTGCTCAAACCCCATACCACCTAGGAAAAACATTCTGTTTAGCAATAATAGTTGTGAAATGAGTCATGACAAATGGATTGTGCCAAGTAGATGCAGCTGCAATTGATAAAACACCAACTTATTCCCAATGGCAGAAACAAAAACCACATAGTATATCAGGCCCCAGAGTGCTAATAACTAGAGCAATTGGTGTGGACATTCTAAATCGGAAGTCATCTCTAAGAAACACATTGTTACAGTGCTACTCCAGTATTCCACAGCTTATTCTTTTAGCTGCACAATATTCAGCCTCCTGCTCTAGGAAAGTTTCCTGTCACGGTGTGGTGAGCCTCTCAGGGCTTTGTCTACACATACAGCACTGCGGCAGCATAGATGCAGTTGTGTTGCTGTAGTCTTAGTGGAGATGCTACCTAAGCTGTGGCGTAGATATTCCACCTCCCTGAAAGGCAGTAGCTATGTCAACATTTGAAGCCCTCCCATCAATATAGCACTGTCTATATCAGGACTTCAGTCACTATAACAGTATTACTTGGGGTGTAGATTTTCTATACCCCTAGTGATGTAGTTATACTAACATAAGCCTGTAGAGTAGATCGAGACCCAGGGTTTGTCTTTGTAGTGCTTAGTGCCCATTAGAGGGGTATGATTTGCAGAGAGCTCTAACATGCTGTAGATTCTGCTGCGGAAACTGAACGATATCCAGACTATGTTAATGCAAATGAGGTTACCTCATAGTTCATACTGGCAGAGTTTCCATGGGGCATGTTACTCACATGTGATGTGTAAAGCTCCAATATGCTTTATATACAGTGTTGACAAGCCTCAGTGGAGAAAGCTCTGTAGGCAGAGGTCATTCCCTAGAGGCTCCCAGCAAAGCAAAGGAGGGAAGAGCACTGGGGGAATTTCGCATCACATAGAATTTGGTTTCTGCTCAGGATAACATACTTTGCACTGAGACAGTGCCTCCCACCTAAGGATCTCAAAGTGCATTACAAAGCTGTGATGTGTCACAACTATGTGCGTGCATGCGTGACTTCAACCAGTCCTGAACACAGCCATGGTAGCAGTGGACAGGAACTGAATACCCCAGGCCAGTTGGAACTAAAGGGTGACACTAATGAAGGTGAGGTGTCACTGCTCCACTTGGAATCCAAGTCAGCATACTGGGCTCAATATCTTGACTCCTACGAAAAGTGCCAGAGGAAGCTTTAAGCAGAAGATGGCAGCTCCAGCCACAGTGTCCCTACTCTTACGCTATGGCTTTGGTTCCATACGGACTCAGGGTAGCAAGCAGCACCACAGCACTGACTAAACCCTCAATAGCACATCTTGCAGCACCTGGGTTTTTCTTAGTCATCTCCCACTCAAGTACTGATCTTGGCTGACACTGCAGTCACACGAAGCTAAGTCGTAGGGTGATTGGCATGTTAGACTGAATGGGAGTCCCACATCACCTTAGGCCATCCATAAGAGTCACTTTGAAATCCAGAATAGCCATTTAAACAGTGATTAATTCAACTGTTGCTTTTTAAACAGGATTGTTCAAGTTCTGCACTGTTCAGAAGAACTGTGATCTATCAAACCTGAAAGATAATGATTTTTGATGCATTATGGCATAAATTACATTTAAGTTTATGCAAGTAATTAAATCTGGATTTCATCAGGGTTAAATGTAGTGTCATCTGAAATACATTATCATTCAGGGCATACTGCCAAGTATTGATGTTTTTACAACTTCCACTGGGATTTAAAAATCTAACCCACGCATAAGATGTATTTAAAAAGCCTCATGATTACAGGCAGTGGTTGGATAAACATTCAGTCTCAGCAGCGGAAAAGACCTGCCTCTTCTGAATGTACAGAAGCAGGTCATGGACCTAACATCTATGCAAAGTTAACAGTTACCTTAGACGCCTTTGTTTTATCTTCCACTGTTCATACTTCTGTCTTCGTAAATGGTAATTTCAATCTGCACAGCATGGCTGTTAAGAAAACATGCTATAAAAAAATCATGGAGCTAAAATAGGCAAGTCAAACAAAGCAAGGCAGTGAAGCATTTGATCTTTCAGCCTAACATCTGCCATTAAGAAAGAGAATTTTGCTAAATTTCTGAACTACAGAAAGCAAAACAGTCTTTGTGGCTTTTGGCTCTGCATTCTGGCCTGTGTTATAACTTCCCTTTAGACAAAAACGCCTGTTTGGAGGCATACAGACTTTGTAATATTGCAGTGAAGTTGTTAACAGTCTTATGAACAAACAGCTTGGCCCATTACACACATTTTTGTTTTGCACTCTTCTACTGTTCAATCATTAATCCAATCTCCAAATTAAAATCACTATTTATATGCCTGTTTACCAAATACAAGTAATTTTTCTGTATTTACGGAAAATACAGCACATCAAGGGTAATGAAATTACACAACTGACAACTAAGTTATTTAGGCAACTATTCAGATAAGCCCAAGAGACTGCAGTTAGTTAGGACGACAACTCACCACACACTATGAGTCTATGCATTGCAAAGGGGCTTCAAGTTCAGAACTCTTGACAGATGAAATGCATTACTCATACTTCCCCTTTTATTGCTACAAGATGCCCTCTCAACCACCAAGAAAAATGGTAATTAGAATGCTAAGCCATTTGCACTGAGGTCCACAGCCCAGAAGAAAAGTTGTAGAGAGAACAGCTGTAGCCAAGAACAAACTCCAGTGTGACAGACCTCACTTCTCAGGCAGGTGGTGGTTGAAATTTTACCATAGGCACCAGGTGGGAGCAACAATGTATTGTTCCTAAGCCAAGATCAACATTTAAAATATTTCTACAGAGCATTTACGTTCCATGTTTTATTTCTGTTAGGAAGACCGTTAGCCTTTCTAAATGGCTAAGTTGCATCTTCCAGAGGTAGCAGAGTTTGAAGGAAGATAACAACACCTTTCTAAGAAAGATTTTTAAATAAAATATGATGAATGTGATAAGAGACTTTCTAAACAGATAGTAATTTTATCCTAAAAGCCTGGGAGGAACGGCTGGGTACGTTACATACCAGATGTTATAACACCCAAGGAGTGTTCATTTTATAAAGTCACAGAATCAGAGTGCCTGCAGTGTGTCATGCAGCCTCTGAGGTAAGATGCACTATTACTGCTTTGAGGAGAGAATTCATAAGAGGATTAAGAATCCATAAAAAGATACAACTCTTAGTCCTCTCTCAATGGGATCCGTCAAGAGGAGGCCCTGGGGTGCGTAGATCTTCTCATTCTGTTCCTGAATGAATTTGGCAATTTTCTTAAGAACCTGGTGACAGAACACACAGACTTTACAGTTTCTGTTTGAGTTTCCACATCAACCTTCCTTTAAAAGCCCCCATCTATACTACAAACACAGCCAGGTCAGGCAAGACCTAACTACACAGCTCCACTAGAATGTAACTGGGATTACCGCCCCCTGCATAACCAGGCTATTATTTTTCATCCCCCCTCCCACGCCCTAGGAGTGGGAGGGAAGAATACATGGATGGTATTTGTCTATACCAGCACTGAAACTATATTGCAACTAGGTCATGAAACAGCTGTAATGTAACAAGACTCTCTGACGGTTCATTTGTATAAGAGTTGAATATAGGTTATAGCACTATGCAGGTCTCTTTTCCAGGCTATGAAAATATGCTGTTTAAATTACCGCACAAGCCATTTGCTTACTGTATGTCATGGTGTGACTCAGAGAGAAGAGGCCCCTTTCAATGTCTATTTCCATTAATAACAGACTGCAAATACAAAGTGCTGATCTTAACTACTCTGAAAATAAGCCCCCCCTTCTACAGTGTCAGAAAGTTCAAGGCCAGAAGAGACAATTAAATCACGTAGGCAGACTTCTTGTGTCTCACAGGACATTAAATTTCACCCAGTTACCCCTGTGTAGAGCTAACAATTTTGTATCTGGCTAAAGCATAACTTCCTGAAAGGCACCTAGATGTGAAGACTCCAGCATTTCACATGGTAGTTTGTTCCGGTGGTTAATCATCCTCACTGCTAAGCCTTATTTCTAAATTTAATTTGTCTGGTTTCAGCTTCCAGAAAGTGGTTCCTGTGATCTATTTCTTCACTATATTAAGGAACCCTTTAGCACATAGTATTTTCTCCCCAAGAATATACTTAACACACTAATCAAGTTCTCTCTCAATCTTCTTTTGTGACAAGGTAGTTTAAACTCTTATGTTTCTTACCATAAGGATTTTTTGCCAGTCCTCAAATCATTTTTGCTGCTCTTTTCTGCATCTGCTCCAATTTTTCAACATGCCTTTAAAAGCTGACATTAGACCTGTACATAGCATTCTAGTATCAGACTTACCAGTGCCACATTCAGAGATAAAGAAATCACCTCTGTGCTCTTATTTACTACACCCCTCTTCATACATCCAAGGGACCACGTTAGCCCCCTTTGTCAGAGCACTGCACTGCAAGACTCATGTTCAGTTGCCTGTCCATTATGGAGTCATTTCCTTCCAGAATACAGCCCCTCCTGCATGCAGGGATGGCTTGCATTCCTTATTCCTAGATGCATTTAAACTATAATAAAAATTCAAAGTTATGTATTTTGTTTGAATGGGCCGAGGTTACTAAGTGATACAGATCATGCTGTGAGACTGCTCTGTACTCAATTTAATATGCCACCAATCTTTGTGTCATCCACACCTTGGATCAGTAGTGTTTGCGTTTTCTTCTAGATTACTAATGAAAATACTGTAAAGCATCAGTCCTTCGTTGAGCCATTTGTTCTACTGGTTCTACTCTGCCAGTCCAACAACAGTCTATTTACTGGCTAGTATTCGTCTCCCCCATCCTCAGCAATAGCATCTTTGAGCTTTTGTCTCCTAATCCAACAAGTACTGCTGCATTACACATGTGGGAAGACATTACACATGTATGAGGGAGGGCAGTTTTGAAGGGGTTGAATTCTGCTGGTTGCTGGGTGGGATGTCAAACTTCTATTTGAGTCTACATTTTGTTCTAACAAGTTAGGATACCTGTTGCCTTGGATGTCTGCTTTATTTCTGTAAAAGTCCAAACAAAACATGTCCTCTGATGAACAATGTAGCTATCACTTTTCCTTGGATGAATGTCACCTTTGTGATGTACCAGTTGTCACCTGTTTGAACAGCATGACTCCCAAGTCAGTATTCCCTTTAAATGAATTCTGCACATTAGCACAAAGCTCTGCTCCAGTGAAATATTGTCTGGGGCAAGTGCCAACTTGAGTATCTGGCCTATGTATAAGCAAGGCAAACAGACTGCATTAGCTTTATATAGCACAATTTCCAAATGCTTTGATCCAAATAGTTCATACATTGATTACTAAAGTCAAAACAGAACGATCACACACACACTTCTTGCTTTGTACATGTTCAGTCTACTTTGCTGCAAGATCGGACACTGAGAAGTTAGGGGACAGGCTCTCTGGCAGATAGTGATGCTTTCGTCACTCCCAAATTTATTTCTATAGTGAAAACTAACTTCATATACATAATCCACTGAAAGCTATTTGATAAAAATAAGAACAGTACCCTTTAAAAAAAAAAAAAGATCAAAGCCAGCTTTTGCAGGTGACTAAGCTCCAACATTACTAGTCCTACCAGCTTTCTGGTATTTCCGCCACTGCTGAGTCATGCACCTATTTAAATACTTCAGAAACCTTAGGAAGAAAGGTGGGAAAATAAACTGAGGGAAGGGCTTGAACATAAAAATACCAGAGTGGAAATCCTCAGCCTGCATATATATATTGGGTCAAGAAAAATTTAAATACTTTGAGATGTCAGATCTTATAGTCACCAGCAGGGATCATTAGATAATCTAGTTTGACTTCCTGTCTTACACAGGCCACAGAATTTCACCCAGTTACTTATGAATGGAGCCCTATAACTTGCGTTTGACTAAAAGCATAACTTCCAGAAAGACATCCAGATTAGGACCAAAGGAAGTAAATTCACCGAGGTCACATTAATATAAAGGTCTGCAAAATTCAGCTGACTTCTGGAAATTCAGATTATATGTTTGTATAAAGCAAGGAGTATCTTGTTTTAAGAGAACAGACTATGCACAGTAACAGCAGAAAGCCAATACAACCTCCAAAACAGTCTTAGTTGAGTGACTTTTATATTTTATTAGCAGTGTGAAGTTTCACTTTGGTCTCTCTTACACACTGCTCCTTCAGATTTATCGGAACCTCCCGACGTTTCAGTTCAGGAAGCTTTTACTAGTCAGAGTTTTGTTTCTTATCTCTGAATGGGTACCTGTCAGCCCTCTTCAAACAAATAATGGAAGCAAGTAAGCCATAAAGATATCCAGCTCAGATCTCTTCAACGCTCCCATTTCCTACTCAGTCAAGCTGCAAGAAGTGGAAACTAGAGATGTCATATCCATCTCCACAATCCATTACTATTTGAGTTTGTCACAAAATGACTGCATGACTGATTTCAAATAAAGAATTCCTGAAATGCAGCCATCTATAAATCTACTAAAGGGTTACTACAAGAGACACACACCAGTTCAGTTTAATCAAATTTAAGTTTTGATGGATGAGCTTTCTGGCGAGGTTTTAGCTGCAATATTATGTATTTAGAATGCTATTCTGATTAAAGAAAATGACAAGATGATTACATTATGGAAATCTACCTTATCTTGAGAGTGTCAAAAATTATTTATAAAAATAACTAGATATTCGAACAAGTTACAGAGTATAGTGCAATAAGTCACAAGTCAAGAAAGAGTGAGTCATAAGAATTAATCTCTTTGAACTATTCTCATTAGTATGACCATAAATGCTGCATTTTCCAATGAGATTTGAAGTTATCTGCCTTGCCATCCCTACTCTATCTAGTTCAGTTATAAAAAGACTTTTCAGCTGGTGTCAGCCCAATCTTCAAAAAAAAAGAAAAGAAAAAAAAAACACTCTTCTTACATAAGGTGAGCCAAAGATATCTAGCTAAATAAAATACTGCAAACCAGCACTATTTATCACCCTGCTCAGAAGGGATGATAAAGGGTTCTGTTAATATATAATTACAGCAGTAATCTTGAGCAGAATTGTTTGAAACATGTTTTTATTTCAAGTCAGTAATATTAAATCAGACTTCTTTACACTCATTTAATCCAAAGGAATGATGAATGTATTCACATATTGACTTGGCTATCTACTCATTGGCTTCGTAAACACAAAGGCTGTGTCTAGACTGGCAAGTTTTTCCGCAAAATCATCTGCTTTTGTGGAAAAACTTGCCAGCTGTCTACACTGGCTGCTTGAATTTCCGGAAAAGCACTGACGATCTCATGTAAGATAGTCAGTGCTTTTCCGGAAATACTATGCTGCTCCCGTTCGGGCAAAAGCTTTTTCCGAAAGACTTTTGCGCAAGAGGGCCAGTGTAGACAGTACAGTAGTTTTCTGCAAAAAAGCCCCGATCGCGAAAATGGCAATTGGGGCTTTTTTGCGGAAAACCGCGTCTAGATTGGCCACGGACGCTTTTCCGCAAAAAGTGCTTTTGCGGAAAAGCATCCTGCCAATCTAGATGTGCTTTTCCGAAAATGCTTTTAACGGAAAAGTTTTCCGTTAAAAGTGTTTTCGGAAAATCATGCCAGTGTAGACGTAGCCAAAGAGCACACAATAAAGAAGAACTGACAGTATTAAATACAGACTACATATGTAAGTGTGTACACATGGAGGTGTGACTAGTATGTCTGACTTCTAGCTCCTCAAGCTAGTATGTCAGGGTGTTTAAAAATGAAGCTCTTCATTTTTAAAGAGAAACTATCAGAACAACATTTTTATAATTTTAGAATGATCTCATGGTTCACCAAAAGACTGGAAATCAGCAGTTCTGCATGAGACAAAGCTATACAGGCAGTCCCCGGGTTACGTACAAGATAGGGACTGTAGGTTTGTTCTTAAGTTGAATCTGTATGTAAGTCGGAACTGGCGTCCAGATTCAGCCGCTGCTGAAACTGATCAGCGGCTGATTCCAGGAAGCCCGGGGCAGGGGCTTCCTGTAGTCAGCCACTGGTCATTTTCAGCAGCTGCTGACTAGGGGACACCTGGGGCAGAGCAGCTGGGGTGCTGCTGGGTTGGTCCAGTGGCACCCAGAGCGGCGCTACGGGACCAACCGGCAGCGCCCCAGCTGCTGTACCACAGGCGTCCGGAGCAAAGCCGCGGAGCCGGAGGGCAGCAGGACAGCCACGGCGCGTCTGGGCTGTCCCGCTGCCCCCGTGCTCCGCGGCTTTGCTCTGCTTTGCTCCCCGTCCCCCAGGTCTGCAGACCAGGGGGAGGGGAAGCAGAGCGGAGCAGGGCAGAGCGGCGGAACGCGCAGCCAGCTGACAGCCCAGATGCGTCTGGGCTGTCAGCTGGCCGCGCGTTCCGCCGCCGCTTTGCTTCCTCTCCCTGGTCTCGAGCAGACCAGGGAGAGGAAGCAAAGCGGCGGCGGAACGCGCGGCCAGCTGACAGCCCAGATGCGTCTGGGCTGTCAGCTGGCCGCGCGTTCCGCCGCCGCTTTGCTTCCTCTCCCTGGTCTCGAGCAGACCAGGGAGAGGAAGCAAAGCGGCGGCGGAACGCGCGGCCAGCTGACAGCCCAGATGCGTCTGGGCTGTCAGCTGGCCGCGCGTTCCGCCGCCGCTTTGCTTCCTCTCCCTGGTCTCGAGCAGACCAGGGAGAGGAAGCAAAGCGGCGGCGGAACGCGCGGCCAGCTGACAGCCCAGATGCGTCTGGGCTGTCAGCTGGCCGCGCGTTCCGCCGCCGCTTTGCTTCCTCTCCCTGGTCTCGAGCAGACCAGGGAGAGGAAGCAAAGCGGCGGCGGAACGCGCGGCCAGCTGACAGCCCAGATGCGTCTGGGCTGTCAGCTGGCCGCGCGTTCCGCCGCCGCTTTGCTTCCTCTCCCTGGTCTCGAGCAGACCAGGGAGAGGAAGCAAAGCGGCGGCGGAACGCGCGGCCAGCTGACAGCCCAGATGCGTCTGGGCTGTCAGCTGGCCGCGCGTTCCGCCGCCGCTTTGCTTCCTCTCCCTGGTCTCGAGCAGACCAGGGAGAGGAAGTGCCCCGTTCGTAACTGCGGATCCGACATAAGTCGGATCCGCGTAACTCGGGGACTGCCTGTACTTGATTTGACCTAAATAATGGGCATAATATTGATTTCACAAGAAGGGCAAATGGACTAATCTGATGCTCATGAAGAAACTGGGTTTTATTTGGAAATATTTGCATGGGTGTTAGATTGTTCCCTTAGTGAATGCTTACCTGGAGCTTGGAAAAGTCTCAAATAGAGGGTACTGTATAGATATGTGCGAGAGGTAGATTTGGAGTAGTTATAGCCCACCATTCTCTAGCTTAACATCTCACCTAAACCCAAACATAAAGAAGACAAGCAGTAAAATGGTAAGATGCAGCAGAAGATGCTGAAAGGTAGGGTAAGATGCAGCAGAAGATGCTGAAAGGTAGGCTAAGAGCAGCCTGAACTCCTGAGGATTTGTGGAAGCAAATGGAACACAGGGACTAGTATTTAGTAGGGAATCAGGAATCTTTCTTGAGCTACAGAGCTGTGAAGCAACTCTCTTGATTATTAATCTCTATGGGATTAAATTGCTGAAAATTTGGTGTAAAACTCGCCAGTTTAGTGATTGCCTAATGGATTTTAAAAATGAAACATAATTGGATTTAGAAACAGTCCTACCAACTTGACACTATATGACTGATTAGTCAAAGATATATTTTTCAACTAATTAATTCTTTTGACTAAAACGGCACACTATTTTTCTATGGTTATGTATAGTTTACCCTAGCAGCAGGTGATCACTTCCCGCATCTGGAAAATGACATATTTCTTTGTTACTCTCCAACCAGTGACTGAAGCTGGCATTTATTTCAAATATATGCTTATAATTCTCAGGTAGCTGAGTCTGTGCTCTCACTGACATGTCCCAGTATTTTCAGGAAGCTAGGCTAGCAGGTGAAAGCTTATTCTGTATTTGTACTATAGTAATGAACGAGGCTGTCATAAGAGAAAACCTTAGAAATAAAGTTAGAAGCTAAAGCACCTCTGTTGATGTACATAAAAAGTTATGATCCAACATTGTGATTTTCATTTGCTTTAAGTTAATTGCATGAAAGGTAACAGGCTCACCTTTTCATAATGTGTCTCCATGCACAAAAAGATAGTGTAAGCAGTCAGACAGGCCAAACATCCTTCAAGATAAGATTGACCCCCAAGCTTCTCAGCTTCTGCATAAAGGTTATTTAGAGTTTGAACTGTCTCTTCAAACTGCTGCCTATCGATCTGCAAAAGATTGACAGTAAATTGCTTAGTCAGAACTCAATCCCTAAAGCAAAGATGTACCTTCTGTGTAGAACATTCTTAATCACCAGTGTATCACCTACATCCAATTAGCTTCAAGCACAACATGGAGAACCAAGGTTGTGTTCTGGTACAGAAGGACCTCTGTGTATCATAGCTGCTATTTAACCCAATGCTAAGTGATTTAAAGTTACTAGATCAAATGTGTATTCCCATATTACACATTTACAGCCCTTATTTAAGCTGTGTTGTGTGTACAGTATTAGATTCAAAGTACAACCTACTTGGAAACTGTTGACCTGGAGTAGGGATACAAAAGTGTAACCATTTAAATGATTAGCCTACAAACTTCATCTTATTGGTTTTGGTTAGAGTTACACATAGGCTTCCTGGGAGATTCTGCAATGCATGCCACTGGTGTAACCACTAGGATTTTTAGCTGTTACATGGTTATGTTTTTAAATGAGTTTTTACATTCCTAATCTGGAGGGTGAGGTCCTCTAGATTTCAAAAATAAATTATTCGCAGGGGACATGGGTTAAACTAAACCTCATATGCTCTAAGGCCTTGACTATTTTGCATTATTATGACAGAGTTGATCACTAATAACATTAACAAGGAAAGCTAAGGTGATTAGTGTTCCATACAGGACAGACAAGAAGGAAAAAGCCCCAGAAGTGACATTTACTAGCCATAGAAGACAAGCACAACTGGCAAGAAGCATTTTCTTTCTAGCTTAATAAAATATCACAATTGCCAGCAACACAATGAAAGGAAGCACTTGTAAAGCCATGTAAGTGCAAGTTCAACAAAAGAGTCCTCTCACCATCAGACAGGACTGTGGTAGAGAATACATACTTTTTCACTGACATAAGAGATGTAATTGATGAGACAGTTAAAAGGGACACCTTTCCTCAGGATTACAGAGAGCATAAAAAACAAATGACTTCTAAACATGGTCAATAACAAAAGAGAGGAGCAGATAAGTCAGAATTTATACAAATGAACCACATTTTCACTTCTTTATAAAAAATAAACATGCCTTTGATGTGCTTTAAAAAAAAAGTTATGTTCCTTTGCGTGCTAAAGACCACAAATCTCAGGTACACAGCAGGTAAGCTCTCAGGTCAGCCATGTGCAGCTAGCTCAGGGCTTCAATCATTCCTAATTCAATCATTCATACAATCCCAGATAAATTAAAACAAAGCTTTTACCCTGTTTTCTAACTCTGGGGGAAACTTGGTCTGGAACTGGCACCTGGTGCCGCTACTGTAGTCTCTCTGGACAAACACTTTACCAGAAACAGGTGCCTGCTGCGGCCGCATCGCACAGCTAGAACTGGCTGTTCTAGGAGAAGAGACAGTCGAACGCATTACATGGTCACCACCAGCAGCACCTACAGCTCAGAAACACACCCGACTGCCCCACACCTAGCCCCCCCATAGCGTCAAGGCAGCTGTTAGACTGTCACAGCTTGGCCCTGGCCCAGGGCCACTCTGGGGTCCCA